TTACTTTCATTCCTGAAAGTTGAGTATTACGTGTTTGTTATGGGTTAAATACCAGGCTACTCATGAAAGTTGTCAGTGGATTTATACTGTATTTGTACTGTATAACGTATCTTAAATCCGTAAGTTTTCTACATATCTTTGACAGGTTGATATTCTTTCTAGAAAATAAATAATATGACCACTTTTTTAGCTTAATCTATCTCAAACAGGAAATTGAAGTTTTAACTTTGAGTTGCGTGCTAAAATAGCAGCTTTTGTTCTCTCATATGTATTTTTTCAAAAGGTGTCAAGGTAACCCGGGGTGAATACTTTAAACCCTGATATGCCTAAAAATCAAAGATTAGGTGATTTTAACTTCACACCGTTAAAAACAAACAAAAAAAATGGTGCAATTTATTCTTAATAACACTTATATTTACAAAATAAACAATCAGTTTAAATAAAGTCTTTAATTTGTTGAGTTTTTTGGACTTTAAATCACAAAAAATCAGTCAGAACATTACGAATTAATGTTTTCTTCCTTAATTGAATAAGGTTCGTCTTTTAAGAAGAACTACAAGTTTTTTGCGCATATGGTCAATAGAACTAGGACGATCGACAAGTATGAGGTTTAGGTCGGCTTGGGCGACGCTACGGCCTGATCTCTTCTTGATGCGATCAGGCCACCGCTATATCTCATATCGCAGTCAATCTTTAATCGGCCACCAGAAGTACCCACACTGGCGGCCCGCGGTCCAGTCGGCGGCTGATACCGCCGTCGACGTCTTCTACGCTCGGGATTGGCCGTCTCTCGATCCTGTTCAGCGATCTCTTTCGGGAGCTATTTTTTAAGCTATAAGGGGGCAAACGAGCATACGGGTTACCTGATGGTAAGTAACTACCGCCGGTCATGGACTCCTGCAACTCAAGCGGCACAAGTGCCTTGCTGCCCTTTGAGTTCCTCCCCTTGGTAATATCACTGAAAGCAGCAAAAGAATTGCTTAACACCGGTTTCGTGTGAGGCCGTGGGATCACTCCAGTGGAGCCTGGTTCATTTGTTCCGAAGCATGGCTCTCCTACGCGCAAAACAGCACCACAGCCTCACTGAAAGAGACCACTGTGCTCCAGCCCTTCTCACTCGCCAGCATGGCAGCAATGATCTGGCCGGAACAGATCTCGCCCGAAAGCAGAAAATACCTTTTTTTTGACGGGGTGGAAAATCCTTTCGGATTTCCGGCTCTTCGGGGACGCAGGAGCTAGGAGTATGAGGTATTTCCACTAAAAACCACCCCGACAGCCGGTCTTAGGCGCCCTGCCTTGGGGAGGACCGGACCATGTTATTTCAGATCCCCCCCGGATCGACTCCGCGCCTAGCCAGGCCTTATCCCGGGGAAAGAAGGCTTCCCCCGCCTATCGGCCAATGATTATAAAATGTTGCAGCCCGATCGCATTTTTGCGACCAGACCGCCATCCTATCGCCTACCGCAGCATTTCTCTACGCTCGGGATCGGCCCTCTCCCGATCCCGTTCAGCGGTCTCTTTCAGGAGCATTACAGCTTCACAGAAAGAGACCACTGCGCCCCAGCCCTCCTCACTAGCCAACATGGCAGCAATTATTGCTGGCGGGGAAGCAGTAAATGCCTATATAAACGTTTGCTGTTTTTCACATTTTCGGGATAATATTAGAACTTACGTAATTCATGACAACGCACTAAGTATGATGGCAAATCTTCGCCAGATACTCCTAAGTTTGAATTATTGTAATTCTTTTTTCATTAAAAGATGATTTATATGAAATTTTTACTATTTATACCTTTCAAAAATTTTGATCTGATGAAAAATCTGTCGTGTCATTTATACTTACTAAAAAGTCTTGATAGACAAGTGTTATTTCGTTTCTATAGATGTATGTATATATATATATATATATAATAAAATAAAATATAAATAATTGGATTAAATGATTTTAAAAGTTTATTGAGTACAATCGATGTCTGCATTACCTTCGTCACTACTACAGACCAGCTTCGCTTGGCTTGTTTGTTAATAATATCGAATTCGTAAGTTTGTAAAAAATGAAGATGTCTAACATTGACACAAAAAGCATTCATAACATAAACAAAACATTAAATCGCATTCGCTGTGATTAATTTTGCCTTAATAACTTTTTATCACGATATCCCGGGCAGATTTATTTATTAAAGTTGCAAACTATTTTATTTTTTATGAGTCCATATGTCTGTTTTCTGAGATATTCTTGTAGACCTCAGTTTTTTCTCTTCTACCTTATCCGGTTTCTATCGAACACTTAAAAAATGCCCAAACCTAAACGTTTTCACCTCCATGTTTCACCGTAAGGATTTGATATCGAATATCAAATCTTTTGTTTAAAGGACGTCGCACGTACATTCCTTCAGATGACACTAAAATTGATTTTCATCTGAATTTGTCCATCCATGATGTGTGCTGTTTTGCGAATGTATGTCGCAGTTTTCAGTTATTTTCTGAAATTACAGGTTTTTTTTAGTTTAACGTCATTCAAGCTAATTCCCGTAGTTCGTTGTTTTGCCCAAATTATATTGTTAAAAAACTTGAGCTTTACTGTACTTTTTTAGGTTCATGATCCTGTGTCTAGGGGCGCTTATATAAGCAGTTTTTTTAGCTTTAAAAATAAGGAGCCGCTCATAACGGGCTTGTGGATTATTTATTTCTAGATTTCTATACAAAAAAAACAGATAGAAATTCAATTTAACTATAATAACTATTCAATATAACTTGAAATCTGTTAATTACATAATAAATAAATAAATAACCCAGAAATACACGAACCTGTCTTAAGTAACCAACCAACAAATGTCACATTTATAGGACTTTGCCAACTAACGTAATCGTTGCCGACTACATGATTATAAAGCAAGCCACAACTTCAGTGTTTGGAATATGTTTGTTTGAAATAAGGAATTGCCATATAAATACACTTATACAGGCGAAACGTGATTATGTAACAGCTTTACCTTTGGATGTCTTACGTTTCGATGTACAGGTATGGCTGTGGTCACCGGCTGACTGGCTCAGTGGTGCACATTTTCATTATTTTTTATATTTTCTTCTCGCTATGTATCGTCACAGACCTTACCAATGCTCCTTCTTCTGTATGAAAACCGACCAGTCCGGCTTTTATAACACATCCGACCGCTAAGAAAAGGAAGGTAACATGTTTTTTGTCACTGTGCTTAAAACCATCTCTCTGATGGATAGTATTATGCTTTTTAATTTCAAATGCTGCACGTGCAACTCTTGAGCTAAAGTGACCTTCGGTATAGAGGACTTGCGTAAGGTGAAGTTCAAGCCAGTGAGTGGTTCCTGCTTCGATTGCATGTTCTGCGGTAGCAGGTTTTCTAGTCTGGGGGTTCTTTTCCCCAGGCACATTTTCTTTAACCTTTTCTAATCCCTAGAGATCCTTCGGTGTACCACCATGTATTGAACTTATGTGTCTAGTGTGTATATACACAATCGGAATGGAGTGTGCACTCATGGCATTTGGGAGTAACTATCTATATTTATTTACCTTTTACAAGGAAAAATCAAAAGTTTACTTAAACCGTTTATTTTCAACAGCTATATCTACTAAATTTAGAAATTAAGTTTTTTTAATTTTTAAGCTTCAGACGATATTTTGCAACATCTTTTAATAGATTTTAGGAAGGGAGCTGTTTATTAGTCTAATCTTTTCTACGGTGGTATCGTATTATTTGTATACAAGATTCTATATTTTAATAGCTATATAAAGTTAAAATATGTATATGTAAGTTATAATTATGCGAAGCCGACTTCAAGAACCTACAGGTGTCCAGTACAAATGTTGACCTATTATGGTATGGAAGAGAGAATAATGATAAAAAATAAGACTGTTGAAACTTCATAACCTAGGGTTAAAGTTAGACAACCAGAGGATGTCTAGATCCATGAGAGGCGAAAAGGACGAATAATGAGACGCTTTAACCCTTAATACTGAAATGGTAAGCTCTGAATTCATCGCTAAGAGTCTCGCAATCCTTTTAATTGAAATAAGAGGTATGTGAAAAGTCTGGTTGTCAGCAAGTATCTGCAAACTGCTGCGAATGATGAACTCCTTTTGCATGTATCAAATGAACGTAAATTAACGTCGAATGCTGTTGTCTCTGTGTAGTTTGATTCCTATCCTGAACGTAGAAAAAGGATTAAGGGTTCAGAAATTATAAAATAAACTACAATGTATGTTTTATGCATTACGCAAACATACGTATTTTATCAGCATGTATTTTGCTGAACTTGCACATGTATTTGGTATTATAGTATATGATGTTATAGAATTAGTATCATAGTTGAGAATAATTTAATAAAATAATTTGCAATTTTCTAGAGAAGATGACTTGTTTACCATGTTTTTGAAGAATTTAATACTGCCAAAACTGCTGCTTTGATTGGATTTCTGGTAAAATAGAACTTATAAAAATAGGAAATAATTTGACAACGCCATATAAGTTGTTGTGGTGAGTGTATTATTCCAGTGGCACAGGAATAATCTCACTCACAACTCCATCACACTCCTTATATTTCTTTGATTTTCAGTGGTTATCAGCTTCTCATATCATCATTAAACCTCGGAAACAAAAATATTTCCGTGAATATTGGTTTTGCGTTTTAATATATTGAAAAAAAAAAGTAAATACCCAGTATAATGATATCGGTTATTTACTCACTTAGTGTAAATAATGGTATGTAGGTACTGCCTTGAGTTGAGTTGCCTAGCATGTAGGTACAGCCTAGGTTGGTATTGAGAACCGAGAATTTAAAATTATACAGTTTTTAAGTAAAAAGAAAAAGAAGTTGAGTAAACTTTATGATAATAAGGGAAATTCATATCAAAAATCTGTGGCAGGTTCGATTCGCGCGGCAATTTTTTTATTTTGATGCATAGTAAGTCTTGATTTATATATTTTATACTTGCTTTAACTATATGGTTTTCTCTTTGTTTTCAGATATGGACAAAGAGGCAGTGCACAACCATCTGTTTACCCACCAATACCAGTAAAACAGATCCCACCATTGGGGAGTCTTCCTATACAATCGGAACCGCCGCCTGTTTATAGAGGTCGCTATGATGTTCCTACATTTGATGAAATACCACCCGGTGTAGAACCACCAGTACCTGGCTTTGAACCATCCCCTTTTGAAAAACCGCCTCTCGGTCCACCAGGTTCTATTGATCGAGATAGACCTTCAAGCTATAGAGATCCTTATAGACCACCGCCATATGGTGAGGTAGCTGCAGGATATAGAGATGTACCGCTTACAACTCCTGTTCAAAGCGAGATACCTGTTCATGTGGGGGAGCAAACAGCTCGCTTTAGGGATAATTATCGACCGAATCATTATCGTGATCAAGGATCGGTACCATTTAGAGATTTACCTTACCGAGAAGGCCCACAAGCTGGTCTTTACCGTGAACCGAATTACAGAGGAGGAGCAAGACAATTTCGAGATAGTGCCTATAGAAATGTGCCATACAGAGATGGGGCATTCCGAGACACCCCATCTCATAATAGATTTCCCGAGCCCGGCGTTACTTTTCGACCCCCAAGTGCAGATCCCCGAGAATCAGTACCACCTCCTTACCATGATCCTAATTTCCGTGATGCTTATAGGGAAGAGGGTAGTGCTCCTCGTGATCATACTCGACCGGGATATAGATCTAATATTCGTAATAGAGGAGGGCCAAGGCGCAATCAAAATCTTGAACATGAGAGACATCGGGATCGAGAACCGAAAGATAGAGAAAAATACAAAAATGAAATAAATGAAAATCGTGAAATAGTAGAGAAATCGGAAAGGAGTCGAGATCTTGATAGGCGATCAGGATATGATAAATCTCGCGAGCTGCGCGAAGGCCGTGATGATCGTGTCCGTGATTATGACAGAAATCGTGACTATGAAAAGGATCGCGAGCATGAAAGGGCAAGTCCTGATAAAAAGCTACGTACTTCGCCGAAACGTAACAGAGAAACGCGTGAGAAAAAACGTAGTGAATCTAGGGGACGCTCTCGTGATCGAGAGAGTCGACGGGAAAAGAAAGAAGAAAAAATTCGTGAGAAATCTTCCGATAGAAGAGATAGCAGAGATCACAAAGATAAAGAAAAGAAACTCAAGGACAGAAAGAAAAAAAAGAGAGAAAAAGAAAAAGACACTGAAAAGAAAAAGAAACGTGACAAGAAGGATAAAAAAGAAAAAGAACATAGCAAAAAAGATGACGAAATTGATAAAATTGACAAGAAAAACGAGGAAATAGGACAAGAAGCAGTTGATGCTGAAAAGCAGGTTGTTATTAAAACAGAGAAAAATAACAGTGACGCGCCTGTTATTAAAAAAGAAACAGAGTCACCTAAAAATAATAGTAGTGATAAGCATAATGATTTGTATGGTGACGATGCAGTCGGTGCCGTAGATAAAGAAATTATAGAAAATTATGTAAAAACCGAAGAAAAGAGCACGGCGGTATTAACAGGTACAAAAAATACTGAAGTTACTAGTAAGGAAGAGCCGTTCGATGGAATTGAACTTCAGGCTACTGCAGATGAATTAGATTTAAAGGCAGAAATTGAAGTACATAGTCAACCAACGAAGGAAATGTTAGCAACTTTGCCTGAACTATCTAAATGGGAAGTTGATGAAGAAAACGTAGAGAAGACTAAAGAACCTGGAGAAATAACATCCCCTGACGAAGAGGAAGACGGCAGTAAAGTTACTTCAGATGTTATCAAACGAGCAGAGAATGCCATATTTGCAAAGGCAATAAGCTCTTTGAGACCCATCGAAATTAAAAAAATCAGCAGTGATCGCCTAAAACTATATGGTGATGAAGCTTCAAAAGCGGCTATGAACAATATTCAAATTACAGTTCCAGTAGTTGATTCTGAGCAAAGATCTATTGAAATTAATGAAACAAAACGCAGATACTCAAAAACACCACCTCCTCGTTTATCTGTTAAAGAACGCCTCGGCGGTAAAGTTGAAGATGTACGAAGAGGAAGAGAACAGAGAGTGGTTCAAAGTACTGTTGAGCGTGTAAAATCTAGGTCAAAAACTCCTAAACGTGATCAGCGTGATCAGCCTTATCGACGCGTTACCGTGGAAAGAGAAAGAGGTCGTAAACTTGATGGTATTAACAGAATTGAGTCTTCAAAAAGCGATAGACGAATTATGTCTGAAGCAGTAAAAAGCTGTGAAAAACATCGTGGACGAAGTCCAAGTGATAAAAAGCATTTTGACAAAAATCTAAAAGACGAAAAAAAATCAAGCGAAAGCACCGTAGTTCGTGATCGAGGTCAAGAACGAAATACATCAAATGCAAAAGTTGTCAATGTTGATCGAGAACGAAAGAAGTCAACCTTAGATGAAGCTCACTTTGAACCGGATTACGACGAAACTGTGGAATCTGATACTGAAAATAAAGATGATGTCATCAGAAAACGCGAACGTTCATTATCACCTGATAATAATCTTATTGAAGCCAAAAAGGTTAAAGTTGATAATGAAACTATTAAACTGGATTTAGCAAATGTAAAAAAGAAACCTGAGTCCGAAAGTGAATCCTCAAGTGATTCAGAATATTCTTCATCGTCGTCATCCTCCGATGCTAGAAAACGTAAGAAGAAGAAGAAACGTAGTAAGAAAAAGAAGAAACGTGCTGCGAGCGACAGTGAAAGTGACTCTGAATCCAGTTCGGATGACCATAAGAAAAAGAAGAAGAAACGCAAACATAAGAAGAAGTCTAGTAAAAAGAAAAAGAAATCTAAACATAAGTAACAATTATACTTTTTGCACTTGCGTGTATTTTTTTTTGTTTGTTTTCTTAGTAAAGTAATAATAAATGTTATCTGAAGTTTCTTCGTTCCAATGAATATAAATTTAGCTTTATAGGTATGTAAAACTGGATTTGCATTTTACTCCTAACAAACTTATAAAATAAAGTCCTTTAATGAACTTAAACATTTACTATTGTATTTATTTGTGCCCCTCCCCTTAACAACAAGCGTAACTACGACACTAAATTACAAAACAAAGTGGACTGATTGAGACCTATCAAGACAGATCACGATGTGCCTTTTATGGAGTAGAGTAGATCAATGGGAGCAACCTGTTTGCAACTTTGCCAAATCGAGAATATGACTAGGCGCCACTGTAATGGCGTTTTGCTTTGTTGTTGACGACAACTACGAACACGGTGATAATAAAAGCAATAAATAATACATAGTGTAAGTGGAAATAAATGCAGTTCGTTAACTGCAGAAAAAGTGAATTAAAAGCATCATCTATACAGTGTTAAATTGTTTTTTATTGGATAAATAAAATTTGGCATTGTAACGGAGTTTATGAATTCGTTTTTGTTAATAAATAAATTGTGCCTTGACAATAATACCTACTGTGCGGCTGCTTATGTACCGTACCAATGGGGGTCGTTTTGATGTAAACTTAGACGCTACAATTGTCATCTTTAAGATGATAATTAGCTTCTCAGGGCGTTGTTTACTAATGCGTAGTATTCCAAGGAACTTCCACATACTGGAAGTTTAAGAGGTTTCTATATTTTGAATTATGTTGTTAGCGTTACGTAACACCTAGTTTCACCGATCCAATTTAAGACCATGAAAGCTTTCGTCTACTTTCATTCTATATTAAAAAGTACATACATACGCTCATGTTTTATACTCCGAAGGGGTAGAGTGAAGCGTATGAAATTATAAATATTATAAATGCGAAAGTGTGACTGTCTTTCTGTCTGTCTGTTACCTCTTCACGCTTAAACCGCTGAACTGATTTAGATGAAATTTGCTACAGGGATTGTTTCTCAGAAATCACCCTTTAAGGGTGTAAAAGAGGGGTGGAAGTTTGTATGAGGAATCAATATATGGGAGCGATGGAAAGTAACCCGCGTGGTACCCGTGCCGAAGGGAAGTCAGGGCGCACAGGTGGATGGATACAGGCCGGTTGCAGTACTATCGACTCCGGCAAAGGTATTTGAAGCTGCAATCCATACAAGCATATTTTAACAGGTATGTGCACAACTTTCCGATGCCCAACATGGTTTTCGACCAGCAAGAAGCACCACTAGTAACCTTCTCAGCTACATGGCTCATATCGGCCAACAGTGGACAGTGGAGGACAGACTGATTCGGCTTACTTCGATTTTAAAAAAGCATTTAATCTGGTGAACAATGACGCCCTGCTTATAAAGTTAGCCGCAGTTGGATTTACCCCCCACTTGCTCAGTTTTTTGCCAGTTATGTACGCGATCGGCAGCAGTATGTAGAATACGCGGGACAATCTCGGAACCATATTTTACGCGATCTGGCGTGAGTCGGGGCAGTAATCTTGGGCCATTATTGTTTATAATTAATTATGATAAATGACCTGAAAGAAGCAGTTCAAGACGCCAAGTGCTTACTGTTTGCTGATGATCTCAAGCTCTCTTTTACTGTAAAAAACGTGGCTGACGTTGTTGCAAAGGGACAGACAGGGTAGTGGATTGGAGTAGAGACCTCCTACAATTTAACACCTCAAAATGCGTGATAATTAGTTTCTCTCGCGCGAACTATTTTGCATCGGGGCTCGTAATTATAATATACCTAGGGGTAAATTTTACCACTGCGCTGACGTTTCACAGTCACATCACCAATTTAGGAATTTAGGATTTATCCATCGCAGGGTCCATAATTTTACCCTGTACAAAGCTCTGGTAAGAAGTCAGCAGAACGTAACGCAGTATCTAGGCTCCTCATGAATCTAAATATAGGCTCACGGTGGAGCGGGTACAAAACAAATTTTTGAGATATCTGTATATGCGTCAGTATGGTGTATACCCATTCTACCCATTAATGTACCCAACTTTATTTATATTGGGAATGGTAGGATACCACACTCTGAGTGCTAGAAGGGAACTCGCACTCACCATATATACAGCCTTGCGCAAAAGTATTAGGCACCCTACATTTTACTTAAAATAATGGAAAAAAACAACTTATACTTTTTGAATTTATTTATTACCATTAAAATTCACAACAAGGAATGAAAAAAACTTAAAATCTAGTCTGTCTACCTTTGGATTTAATTACTGCACTAATTCTAGCTGGCATGCTGCGTACAAGCTTAGTACAATCCTCCCTTGTAATGGCATGCCATTCTTGTACTTACGCATTTTTTAATGCCGTTTTCGATGTGATACTATGCTCTTTAATCTTGCGCTTCAAAATGCTCCACAGATGTTCAATTGGGTTCAAATCTGGTGACTGCGCTGGCAAATCAAACAAGTCAATGTTGTTTTCAGTAAACCAACGCATCGTAGTCGCTGACTTATGACAAGGTGCATTGTCTTGCTGGAATATAACTCCCTCTAAGTTGTTATCGCCGAAAATAATCGTTAGCGAAGGCCTAAGCGCAGTTTCAAGCACTTTTATGTACTTTTCGCTGTTCATACGACCTTCGCAAACAAACATTTCGCCAACCCCATCAGTAGCCATGCAGCCCCAGATCATTATGCTGCCTCCTCCATGCTTTACTGTCGGTACGACGCAATCTAGATGGTATTCTTCGCCCACACGTCGCCTCACTAAGGTCACACCTTTTTTTTTTTTTTTTTTCCGTGCGGAAATCCCCTCGGATACCACCTACCGGTGGCATGTCGGACTCGAACCGACTAAAACCGCACGCCGTCTCGGGTACTAATAGCCGGAGAACCAGGTATACCCTAGAAAGGAAGTCCCTGGTGCCCCGACATAACTCGGGCCATCTACAGACGAGTAGACGACCCCCCCCCGTGTGGGAACCCCATGTTCCCTACTAAGGTCACACCTGGCGTTCCAAATATCTGTTGAAAAAAGAAACAAAACACTTTTTTAAACTGCCTTAACTTTTATTATTTTAGTTAAATAAACAACTGTCCATGATTATTACTAACAAAAGCAGTAAAATTTACTTACCTCAAAGTTAGATTCCTCAGACCATAATACATTGGCCCAATCTTCCTCAGTAAAATGTTGATGCTGTAGAGCCCATTCAAGTCGTTTTCTTTTGTTAGCTTCTGAAAGCCAGGGCTTCTTTCTGACTTTGCATCCTTTTAAGCCTGCTTCTCCAAGTCTTCTTCTGGTGGTCCGAGCGCTTATTGGCTTTCCAGCCTCTTCGGACAAAGTAGCAGCAAGCTCTGATGATGTTTTCTTCCGATCTTTCATAGATTCGCGTATTAATTTTCTATCCTCGCGCTTCGAAGTCACACGTTTCCTGCCTGTTCTTGGCTTATTAGCGTGACTGCCAGTCTCAGCAAACCGTTTGATAGCAGATTGCACAGCGCAACGCGAACATTTCACTATGTTAGAAATAAAAGCTTGTTTACTCGTTAGAGTCCTGAACATAAGTGACCAAACATTGACTGATAAGAACGCATAAAAACAAATCCTTTGTTTTCAGTCACCAGGTGTTTTATGACCATAACAGATAGCTGCTTGCTTTTCTAGGAAGTTATTTGTGACACTGGCATGCCATCTAAGATAAGCATTTATTCATTGTTCAATCAGTAAACATGAATTGTGCATTTTTCTAGGGTGCCTAATACTTTTGGCCAAGGCTGTATCTTCAAAGTAATTAGGGGAAAAGTTCATGAAACTTGTGAACTTTCGGGTAACACGTTTTTTACTGTCTTTAAACGTTGCATTGCGGAAGGAATATTTCCTCGTATATGGCGATGCGGTAATATTCGTATTATACTAAAAAGTGGCGACAAGCCACCGGATGATCCTAAATCCTACCGACCAATCACATTGTTACTATCGTTAGGAAAGCTTTTAGAACGTCTTGCAGTGCCCCGGCTTCTGCCAGGTGGAGTCAAATTTCATGATAGACAATTTGGATTTACGAGTACCTTGCGGAAATCGACAACTGACGCTGTTATATCGGTTAGAAAGTTTGTCACAGAGTCAAAATTTCAATACGTGCTGGCTATTTTCTTAGATATATCTGGCGCCTTCGACAACGGCATGGTGGCCCATGCTGTTGCTGAAATTAAAATCACGGGGTGCTTTAAAAATATTTATTCCCTTATCTCTTCGTACTTTTCACAAGGTACAACTAAACTAAGACTTGGTCATCATTCTGTGTCGAAGGCGCTTAAAATGGGATGTCCTCAGGGATCTGTGCTAGGTGCATACTTGTGGAATATCGGCTTCGACGATTTTCTTGCGATACCAATACCATCCGGATGTACTCTGAACGCGTATGCTGCTGACTGCTTATTACTGGTGGAATCCGATACTAGGGCGGGGTTAGATTAGCCAATAGATGTTTGAACTTGATATCTCACAAGCCACACATACCTGTCCGGCACACAAAAGTACACCTGTGTCCTAATATATCAGCATTTTTTTTTATTTTTTTTTTATTGGACTAATCACCAATGTAATAATATGTATGCCAGAATCGCCTAAACGCACGGAAATTCACCCTAGTTGACACAAGATCCCCATAGTATACCACCCCAGATGTCACCTGCAAGCTATTCAGCATTATATTACGTTCATTATACCAAAGACTACATTCCCAGAGGATATGATGAGCAGACTGTTCATAGTGAGAGTTAGGTGTTGAGCATTGACACAATGGTGACTCGACTAAATTAAATGAATACAGCTTGCTCTTAAAGTTACCATGACCCGTAATAAATTGAGAGCGACACAGTGATGCACCTCAAGCCATGTCCTCGATAACCGTTCGCGAACAGATTGAAAAAACTGGTAAAGATGGCGCCCCTTGGATGATTC